TTTTTTTAGATAAAGTCTCACTCTGTTGCCCAAGCTGGAGTGCAGTGGCATGATCTTGGCTCACCACAACCTCTGCCTCCCAAGTTCAAGTGATTCTCCTGCCTCAGCCTCCTGAGTAGCTGGGACTACAGACCTGTGCCACCATGACCAACTAATTTTTGTATTTTTAGTAGAGATGGGGTTTCACTATGTTAGCTAGCCTGGTCTCGAGCTCCTGACCTCATGATCCGCCCACCTCAGCCTCCCAAAGTGCTGGGATCACAGGCGTGAACTACCATGCCTGGCTGACAAACAGCTCTTTAGTTAACAGGTGATGCATCCTCCCAGGACTGAGTCTTCCTTCAGGACAACAGATTTCATTCTGGCCCCGGGTGTCTAGAAATGTTGTCCCAAAACTAGGGCCTGGAAAGGGGGCCAGTGCCCTAACTTGCTGTGACTGAGCTGGTATACAAGATGCAAGACAAAGTCCTCTCCACTCTTCCCTCTCCTCTCTTCTCCTCTCCTCGAGCAGTAGGAAAGAGTCTTTTTCTTGGAGCTGCAATCTGTGCAACCGGGAATTAGTGAAGAGATGATGTCAGGACTCCCTTAGCTGCCCTGTCTGGTGTCCCAGTAGACTACATTCCCCCAACACAAGTCCTCTGCCTCTAGGCCCAGTTCAGCACTAGGAGATGCCTAGGAGTGGTAGTTTTTGTGACCTAGACTTCCTTTCATGTTTGTTTTTGGACCCAGAACACTTTAGCCTGCAGTGGTGAGGGTTGTGGGAAGTCAAGTTCCAACTGCTGGGATGGGCACTTCTTCTCTGGCTAGGGCTGGTTTAAATGCTCTCTCAGTGTGTGGGCATCTGCTGAGTTTGGTCCAGTTTTTCTTTCTGCTATGACAGGGCGGCACTGATTTCAATGCCTCACAATTGCTTTCCCCCACCCCTCCCCATAGCACAAGAATGTTCTCTGCAACATGCTGCCACTGCCAGGGAATGAGGGAGGGGCAGCATCTGTGATTTTAGACTGTTTTCTCTACCTCTTCAGTGCCTCTTTCAATGATATGAAATTAAAAAGAGCTACTGTGAGTGCTCACCTGAGTTTTGGTCCTTATGAAGGAGCTTTTCTATGTGTAGATAGATGTTAAATTGGTGTCCTTGCATGGGGTACTATCCACGGAGCCTTCTATTCCACCATCTTGCTCTGCCCCTTTCTGCCTGAACTGTTGACCCACAAAAATAATGAGATAATAAATGTGGGCTGTTTTAAGCCACTAAGTTGATTGCCGTTTGTAAGGTAGCAGTAGAAGAGGAATACACAGGGAAACCTATTAGAAGACAAAGAAAGTTCCTCTGAAGTAGGGTAGAGTGGAGTAGATTTTAGTTTACATGTGAAGATAAACATAAGGCAATAGATTTTATATATACTTGGAATAAAACATAGGAAATAGAGAAAAGATGTCATTATGTTGAAACGGTGAAGTCTGAGGGGAGGTCGGTTTGGCAGGAGGGCAGGGGAGAGGTGGCAGATCATGCATGCTGGAGGTGGCAGATCAAGCATGCTGTTTTGGGATGTGATGACTTGATATGTCCCTCAGTTTTCGAAGTGGTCATGTTGGAATGCAGCTGGATAAATAAGTCTGAAATTCAGAGCAAAGGACAGGGATAGAGATATAAAATTGGTAGTTATCAGCACATAGGTGGTATTACAAACATAGAAATGAGTCTGATAATCTGAGGAGTAATGGAGATTTAGAAGCGAAGTGCTTCTCTTGGGGCACTGTTAGTTTTAGAAGTTAGGTAGAAAGTAGGAATGAGCAGATGAGCTAAGCACTTTTAATTTTATCAAAAATCTTGTGAAGAAAGCATTAAATTTTTATTTTACACAGGAAGAAACTGAGTCTTCGGGGGCTAAGTGGATTGCTCAAAGTCAGATTGTGTAATCAAACTGTATTTTTAACCCAGGAGGAGTTTAAAACACAACCTCTGTCCATTAAACCACCATATCCTCAATTTCAGCCCCCAGGTAAAAAGAGAAAATACCATATATATTACAAAACATTCACAGGCTGGAGTACAGGCTTCATGTTTTCGTGGCATTTTAAAACAACTGTAGAAATGATGCCCCATAACACGGAGATGTGCTTTGACCTAAAGCACATTTATGCATCAAGGTTGACTCTTAGGAAGAGTCATTGTCACTGCATGTAACTTATATGTTATATGCAACTTATGCCCCACTGAAAAACAAATAACTTTAATACCTAGGAAATACCCAGAACATAGCTTCAAAAGAATGAATGTAGTCTTGGAAATTTATAACCTTGGAACAGATTTTGGGCATTAAGGGTCACAGTATGCTAGTGTCCACACAAACTACAGACCTTTTGACTGAAGTCAGTTTTGATTATCTCTGAGATAAAGCTACCTTTCCATTTTGTATGTGTGTACTTCCAGAGGATTTTCCTCAAAATAATGGACCTTTTTGTTGTTGTTAAATTCACAATGTGGCCAGGTGCAGTGGCTCATGCCTGTAATCCCAGCACTTTGGGAGGCAAGGCAGGTGGATCACTTGAGATCAGGAGTTTGAGACCAGCCTGGCCAACATGACAAAACCCCATGTCTACTAAAAATACAAAAATTAGCTGGATATTATGGTGCATGCCTATAATCCCAGCTACTCAGGAGGCTGAGGCACGATAATCACTTGGCGAAAGTTGCAGTGAGCTGAGATTGCACCAAATGTCCTCCAGCCTGGGCGACAGAGTGAGACTCTGTCTCAACAAAACAAATAAGTAAAATAATTCACAGTGTAAGTACCTGCAAATTGAGGATTTTTTAACCCAAGTATTCTACCTGTTGAATCCACAGATTCCCATTTTCTGCAGTGGATTGTCATCACAGTTCCAAACATGTTAAGAGTCATATATCTGTTTATAGAATACTTTATTACTGACATTTACTGTAATTGTTCAATCTTTCAAATCTTTTTTGAATTCCAAAAGTCAAGCATCCCATAATTAATACCTCTGTTTACCATTCATTATTTAAGTTCACATGTTGGTCCCCAGACCCTACATAAATTATCCAAAGAAAATAATTCCCTTCCACTTTAGTTAACTATCATATGTGGTATTACTTTCAATGAAAAATGTTTTTCCTGTTTGTTTAGAGTGGTCAGCCAAGAGTTATCTCCTCTGAGCTGACCTGGGAAATCTGTTGGCACAAGTTAACTCAGTATTCCTAAATACTTAACTCTCAGTACAAAGGAAGGTCTGTAGACCTATAGATGTCCTGAAGGGGAACAAAGGAGAGTTAACATAACATCTCTGTACTTGGATTCTCTGAATCCCAGGTAAGAATAATTTTTACAATTTGTGTGCTGCCCATATGTTAAATCACCAATCCAATAAGGTTACTTACGTATTGAAATACTCAGCAAAGATCAAGTTGGTGGAGGTACCAGTGATTGTTGTCAGTCCACCAATAGTAGAAGAGTAGGCAATGCACAAACACATAAGTTTACATATCATGTGGCCCTTCTTTGTTCGATATTTGGTTCCCATGCCTGAGTTCTGTTCAACAACAACAAAAAAGTACCATGAGAACTGCTCTATATTTGTTATGGACTGAATGTTTGTGTCCCACCACCCCCACCAATTCATATGTTGATACCCTAACTCCTGATGAGATAGTATTTGGCAATGAGGAAGATACTGGCCTCATTTGGAAGATTTGGAAGATACTGGCCCTTCCTTTGAGGATGTGGCCCTGGTCTGATGGGATTATGTCCTTATAAGAGGACACATCGGAGAGCTTGATTCCTCTCTCTCTCTGTTTCTGCTATGGAGAAAGTCACAAGAAGGTGGCTGTCTGTAATGCCAGCGGAGAGTCCTCACCAGACACTGACCCTGCCAGACCCTGATCCAGTCTTCAGAACTGTGAGAAATAAATTTTTATGGTTTAAATCACTTAGTTTGTGGTGTTCTGTTATGGCGATGTGAGCTCACTAATATAGCATTTATCTTTCCATCAATGCAGATGTAGCAATAACAGTATTTAAGCTGAAACCACTGAAATATTTTAAAAATCCAATTTCATTCATTTCTTCATCCTTCTTTCTTGTCCCTTACTTAACTCTTCCCCCATGTCTTCCCTTCTCGCCACTACTCCCAAAGCTTTTCTGTTGATACTGATGGTACATACTTAATAAGTCCCTAAACTTCTTTTGGAAAGGTTTCCCCACCGATGCACCTTAATGGATGGTTCCCAGGGGATATCACTCCTGAAATTGAATGTTTTCAACACCATATACCTCAGCATTGAGAGATAAGTCAGTGTCCTCTTTGCTCCCCACTGTCTTTTCCAGAACATTAATCCTCCACTCACACAAAAATAAATCCATTTTTTTTAAGAATCATGTAACTTGGATATCTCTTTCTCTCCCCATTCCTTTGACCATTATATTTTGATCTCCTGGTCACCCACTGCTGTCATTTAAGATAACATTTGCACTCAGCACATAATCATCTTCCTTACTCCAAATCTTGTCAGCAACTGAATAATGACTACACTATGCTCATGCATAGCCCTTTAAATATCCTGGCCCCACACAGTTTTGATCTCACTTCCAACAATTTTCAGTTCTCCACCTCAGTCACCCCACCCCCGTAGTTACACCTTGAACAATGGCACATCCTGAAATGTTTCACTTGGGGAATCACTAGACCAAATGTAAGTGTTTTAGTTACGAGATGGCTTTCTAGGGTGCAAGCCAAAAGCAACTTCATTCTTTCTCTCATCCATGACCCTGTAAACACACTTTGTTGGTTTGATTCTTCCTCTTCCTGTGGTGAAATTCAAAGAAGAAACAATAACTTTTCAAGGTCATTTCATTTAATGAATAGTTTTTCAGTTATGTTTAGTCAGAAGAATAGCTTCATTTGAGTAGTTAAAATAAACAGTGCCCTATTTAATAAGAAAAATCCCACATTTTAAACTTAAGCATTCTCTTGTCCCCTAGATCAGGCCTGCTTGAAAGCCCATAGCTGGAAGGAGGTTTGTGAGTCTGACTTTCTCTTTCTCTCCTAGTTCCAATTCTTCTCACCACTTGCTACACTCAGTTTCTAAACCTTCAACATTTGGAATGTCAAGAGAAGAACAGGATCAGGAGAGGAGTGGTAAGGATTAGGAGAGGTCTTATTTGACTGTTTATTAATTTAAAAATGGCATTAGTACTTTCCAGGCATGGTGAATGTTTGAAATTACTCTCTCTGGTGGGCAATTTTATGGGATTTTATGAGACTCCTATTATCCAAATAAGAACATCAGATTGTTGTTCTTTCTATGTAGGTAACACACATCTTCTGCCTGGTGGCGTATGACACACTCATGGTGTCTGCATGTGATAGTCTACCTGGTCTTTTTATATTGAGATCAACTTATGCTGTCAAAAACCCCTCCTGGAGGAAGTTGTCTTTCAAATGATCCCAAATGACAGTCCTCCCACATGTTTCCTTCATATGGTCCAAGGGAAACAGTCACCTCTGTCGTGTTGTCAGTGACAGTGCAACTGAAACTTGATTAGGTAAGGAAATTCAGTCATGACATTTTACTTTCTAATTTTTCAAGAATGTGTCAAACACTAATCCATTGACCTTTTCTAAGTCTAGGGTGGTAGATAATAAGTTCTCCAAGTAATAGTTTCTTAACATCTATTGCACCTTGGTAAGTAGGAGACTCTTTCCTTCTTTCAACTGTGATGGTACAAGTGGCGGGGGCGGGGCATTAGGGAAATACTCCAACTTTCTCCATAAGCAGACTATCTCTCAGCCTTCTCATTTTAAACACTAAGTTTAAGAGTGTAAAACTGTTTTTTGGTCACCTCACTTGCAAGTCCTGTGGAAATGAAATGCAAAAATACCTAAGGTGTGTGGTTGATATTATATTTACTCAGGGGTAGAAAGAGTATCATTTAACCATCCTAGTTATCAATAAATTGGCATAGTTATTACAGTTTCTTCTTCCAACTTTGCTGCTAAATTAATTCTATTTCTACAGTCCTTCAACTGCACTGGCAAATCTAGGTTAATGAAGTATGTAGTTATGGCCAGTTATGGTCCTCTCCTTTCTTTACTTCCATCTTTATTCAGTTGAGATTCCATAGTACCTCATTTCAATAAATTGTCTTAACAAAACTCTGAACTCTCTTTCTTGTCTTTTCTTAAATGGTAGTTCTTTGTGAAAATTCCAACTGATTTATAAACCCAACCATTCTCTCTCTCCATGTCATGTCTGCTTCTGAGTAGCCAACTACTGTTGCTAAAAATTACATGCACAGTAAAGCAGATGGGATCATTCATGATCACAAACATCCAATGCTGTAATGATGTTGCTCCTCTATCCTAGCGTGTTTGCATAACCAAATTACTCTACCTGTTTCCACAAGGAAATATAAAACCTTCTTTATCATCTTTATACATCCCTCTTAATGCTTCTTCTCAGTCTCTGCAAGTAGCTTTGCCTCCTACTTCCCAGAGAAAATAGAAGCCAGCATATAATAGTATCACCGTGAAATGTAGAAACCTACTTGCATTTGCCCCATCTTCTTGTTCTCTACATAATTAATAGAGTCAATGTTTCTCCTCCAACTTCTTGTTTCTGAACTCTCAGGTTTTCTCAGAAACCTTCCACTACAGACTATTGGAATTTTCATCAACATTTAATTATTTTTGAGCCATCTTTACAGAAGAAAAACAAGAAAGACTTCTTAACACTCCACTCAAGTAAACTATTGTCCTACCTCATCTCCATTTTCACAGCCAAACTACTTGAAAGAGTTGTTTACATTCACTGACTCCATTTTCTTAAACACTTCCATCTAGCTTGTCTCCTCATTCCACCCACAATGCACTTCCTGTGATTATCAGTAATTTCCTCAGGGCTATGTTCAATAGGAACCTTTCGATCTCAACTTTGTAGTTCCCTTTGCAAGCATCTAAAAGAGTTTATCTCTTCTTTTTACTGAAAAAACTCTGCTTTGAGTTTCTGTGATATCTCACTCTTTGGGTTTTTCTATGTCTGCCTGTTTTTCTGTCTCCTTTGCCAGTTTTTTTTTTTTTTTTTTGCCTTCCATCCTTCCTTAAAACTGGAATTTCTTTAAACTGTCACAGGCCCTTGTCTCTCCTCACTCTAATGGTTCTCCTTTAAAAATATCTTATTTTTTATTGATTTAATGACTATTTTTATGCCAGATCACCAAACTTCTGTCTTCAGCCAGGATCCTCCATCTAGACCCATGTATCCAATTGCCTGTTCAACATAATCATGCCTGGAATCTCAGCACTTTGGGAGGCCGAGGCAGGTGGATCACTTGAAGTCAGGGAGTTCTAGACCAGCCTGGTCAACATGGTAAAACCCTGTCTCTACTAAAAATACAAAAATTAGCCATGTGTGGTTGCGGGCACCTATAATCCCAGCTACTTGGGAGACTGAGGAAGGAGAATTTCTTGAACCTGGGAGGTGGAGGATGCAGTGAGCTGAGATTGCACCACTGCACTCCACACTCCAGACTGAGCAATAGAGCAAGACCTGTCTCAAAACAAAACAAAACTCTCTCTCTCTCTCTCTCTCTATATATATATATATATATTTGAATATATATATATGTGTATATATATATAGAGAGAGAGAATGTCTGCAATAAAACTCCAATCTGAAAATGTTCAGGACCAAACCTTTTACTTCTTTTGTCAAACCTAGTTCGTCAGGATCACTTATAAAAACTAATGTCATCACCATCACTATTGTAACAAATACTTATAGCATCCTTAGCATGTGATAAGCACTGGTCCAAGTTAAAATCAATTAAATGTTTTAATTCATTTAAGTCTTACAATATAATGAGGTGGGTACTATTATAACGTCATTTTGTAAATAAAAGACATAGAGAAGTTAAGTGAATCGTTCGAGGTACCAGAGCCTGAAAATGACAGACTTGGGTTTTGAAACCATACAGTCTTGCTTTAGAGCTCATACTCTCAGCCACTTTGCTATAATACATTGCTTGTCTTCCTTGAAAACATTATCTTCGGCCGGGCGCGGTGGCTCAAGCCTGTAATCCCAGCACTTTGGGAGGCCGAGACAGGCGGATCACGAGGTCAGGAGATCGAGACGATCCTGGCTAACACGGTGAAACCCCGTCTCTACTAAAAAATACAAAAAACTAGCCGGGCGAGGTGGCAGGCGCCTGTAGTCCCAGCTACTCGGGAGGCTGAGGCAGGAGAATGGCGTAAACCCGGGAGGCGGAGCTTGCAGTGAGCTGAGATCCGGCCACTGCACTCCAGCCTGGGCGACAGAGCGAGACTCCGTCTCAAAAAAAAAAAAAAAAGAAAAAGAAAACATTATCTTCCTCATCCCATCAAATTCTGTCAATTGTATCTACTGAAATATGCCTGGACTCTGTTCAATTTTCTCCATCTCCACTGTTTTCACCCTGGTCTCAGTCAACATTATCTCCGGCCTAGGTTAATAAAATAATGTGTTTATGGATCTTCTTGCATCAATTCTTGCTTAT